TTAGAAGATGCAGTCCTTGGCTTGGTTCTTGGTATTGGCGGGATGCCTCGCTTTTACTCAAGCTCATACATATCATATGGGTGCCTGTCCCATCGTGGAACCTATGCAGGGTTTTCAGATGAACAGAGTAAGCGGAATATTTTATATTTATCAAAGACAAATAAGCGATTGCGAAGTCTTACCATTATCAGTAATAAAGAATATTTCTATATAATAACTGTGAAATATAAAAAATTTGTAAAGTATTTTATTTCGCGCATACTTCGTGAATTTTATTATGTCTTCTATTATATTTCATAAAGCACAATTAATTTACTTCAGTAACAATCGGCTTGTTTAAAATTTTAGTTCCTAGGCCTGTGGTATGTCATCCAAAAAACGTCGACAGGTAGCAAGTGTATCACTTATAACTATACACGAGGAGAAGAACCGGGCGAGTACGTGATAACGCAAGATTCCGATCATCTGATCCTAGGTAAGGCAATTAAAAATCAGCAAAAGTGTCATGCAATTGGTAAAGAAAAGAGACACGTCACCTTTTGTGAACAACTCATCGGGCCTTATCGAGAGTCATAAAGACCCGTCAATGGGATAAATGTCTAGCAAATGGGATGAATTATCCGTAATTGCGTAATGCGTATGTGCAGGTCTTACACCATTAAAGCATGAATATCACTATACTGGTGAGCTGACTGTACCGGAACCCAGTACACCAGGACGTATGGAAGTCCGTTTTCCTCTTAGTAAGTGCTTTAAATGAATAGTTAACAATACATAACATTATTTAAATTTACTAAAACAGTTTATATATTTCTTACAAAAAATAAAATAATTTATAAAAATTTAGTATATTATGTGGCGAGGTCTCTCTGTAGTGTAGATAAACGATTTCTATAGATACTATTCTAATGTGAGAGATAAGTTATGCTTTTCAAAATGCAGTCTATAGCCTCTTCCTCAATCTATTACAAGACAATGACAAGATATTAAGTAAATTGAAGATGAATAGCTAATTCGTTCTAATTTCGTAAAAAACGATTCTGTTTTTTGTTAATAGTCGTTAATAATTTTCGTTAATAATCCATCCGAATTACAAGTCAAGCTTCCGTGTTGCGTAACTAAGATTTCTGCGATTTAGATGTAGCTGGAAGCGCTTCCCACGTGGTGTTCATGACCGACTACGACACTTACGCCGGCATATTCACGTGCCAGAAGTTGGCGTTCGCCCATCGACAGAGCGCCACGATCCTCTCGAGGACTCGGATGCTGGATCAGCCGCAGGTGGAAAAGATACGCCAGCGACTGAGCCAGTTTGGCGTTGATCCGTTTGATCTGAGCATCATCTCGCAATCCGGCTGTCCACATGGTAACAATACTGTGGATATCAATATCGACCCCAACACTTTCACCTCCGAAAACTTGGGCAACGTGGTGCGCAAAGCGGGGGAGAAGATCGGTGACGGTGTCCAGTGGGTCTCCCAAACCGGAAGCCAGGTTTATCACAAGTTGACCGGAACGGAAGAGGATCACGCAACTTCGTCGACAACAGAGCGGAACGGCCGCGTAACGACCAACATCAGGAACGATGGAAGATTGGAGACCAATGACGTAGAGTGGATTCCCTAAAAATTTTACAATCCGTTATTTTTTATTGCGCGTTAATCACGACCTTTATATGATTAAACGTCCATATATTACTCATTCTATAGATCTATCGAGATTTTCTTTCTGACGTTTATTTGACTTTCTATTATTTTATTTAGAAATACAGATTTCAAATAAAAATAAAATTATATGATAAAAAAAGGTATCCATACGGCACTAATTGACTCGATTAATATATGATATGTGATTATGCATCATACATCATGAATACACATGTTTTGAATGTTGTTTAATTGGTATTTAATAAAACTAAAGAAAGCACAATGTACATGTACATACATTTATTATTTCTATATTTTATATATGCACATGTATGCACATGTACATACATTTATTATTTCTATATTTTATTACACCTAGAAATGTATAATTTATGTAATTAATTCTTATATTGATTCGTCGTTATTGTACGATTTTGTGTCACTGTGCTTAGAATTTATTATATTATAAAAAGGTGTATACATTATATTATGTTATAAAAAGTGATAATAATAATTAAAAGACATCTGTGTATTTTATCAATAAATCACGTCAGTAAGTTAATTGAAAAACTAAAAAAATTATTTAACAATATTGTTAGCGCTGCTCGTGTATACATTCCTCAACATAGCGTACAAATCGGTATTATAAGATGACTTTTGAAATTATAATATTAAAAAAAGATCATGTTTCTCTTAATGAAATCACCTACGTACGGGCAAATTTTTTGTCGATACATTTTTACGATATAGATCTGGGAAAAAACAATTATCTCTCTCTTGCTCCACATAAACAGTGTCTCCGTGTTACACGATTTAGATTGTCCCCCAATGCGTATGCAACGCGACCGCATACACACATTTATATATGAGCGACCGCGAATATTAATATCCTCTCCTGTCTCATTCAGACTATCAGTCTGATAGTGACCGCTGAGGAGCGACAAGCCAATTTCGTGATTGCAAGCAGCACGCGTCGTTTCCGAGATTTTTAAGTGCAGCCGCATCATTCCACAGCAAGATCTAAGATCTTAACAGCAAATTTTTTAATGTATGTAAATTTATATTAATGCATGAAAATATTAATACTTTTGTTTTTTATTATTTTTCTTTACTAATGTAATTTCTTATACATTTTCTCTTCTTGCTAGATTTTTATATGGTAAAATTAACTAGTGCGTGATTTGATCTCTCGATGTATAATCCGTTTTATTATTTTTTATTTAGCAGATTATCAAAATATACAAAATAAGATTTATATGTATCTTTTCATTTTTTAGTAAATGCAATGATATTTTATTCACGAATATAATTGCTTAAATTTTAATTTCACTGTTGTGATGCTTTTGTCGCGGAATTTCAACGAATCATTGATTAACTGATTGATATGACACGTTTCATGTCTTAATTCCAAAACATCGTATCGGCTGAATATTTCACACAAAAATTTGAGATTTATTATTACAAGAAGTTTCGCACGATGTGAGTGGTTTTTCTCACTGACATGTTCTTGTTGTCATAGTCAACAAGCTTTTGACTATTTGCCGGTAGGATAACGCTATTTCAATTATCGCTCAATTATCTACCTATGCTTGCTACGCTATGCTTACTAAAACTATTTTATAATGATTCATTTTTCATTTTTGTCGTTTTATTATATTTTTCATCTTTTAACTCTTCGTCTGCGGAAATTTGTAGAACTAATTGTCAGCGATAAGTCTTTTAAATAGAATTTAATCTAGTGACATCTTAGTATTAGCATATATCCCACACGTTCTGGCGAAATTACCGAATTATCGTCTTTGCGAACTATAGAAATGCAACTACACCCTCTTTACCGCCCGTTCATTACGCACTGCAGTGTACAACGAGCTCGGTGGGGATGCGAAGTGGGTGCGCAGTTTATACTTGCACCGACTTTCTGCTTCCGTACCATCTTCTTTCAGTCATAATCGCGGATTTCTCAGTCTTGGAACGGTCACCCGGGTCACTTCCGATTCTGCTTTGTGAACGACGTAAATTTTACGATACAATTCACTCGAATTGATTCACCTTTTTGATTCATTTTTGATATTATCTTGCATCTAAATACTGCGAAAATTTCAAAGCGCATTAATCTTTTTTGAGTTAACATGTTAAAACATATTAAACAGGAAAAATTTTGCAAATTAAATTTCAGGAAATCAAATGCATAATAAAACTACGTGTTTATAGCTAATTTTAGATGAAATTAATTAAGTAATTTAGTAGAATTTAGTTTAGTTAAAAAAATATGTGGGAAAAATTGTAAAGTTGTATGATGAATGATGATCTCCGATATTTTCGTAAAAATTAGAGAATTGATTAAAGAATTTATCATTGAAAAATAACATGGTGAAAGCACAATATCGTATATATTATAGTGCAAGTATAAGAAAAAGCATCGTGCCAATGTATGTTTCATCAAATTATATTATTTATAATACTAATAAATGATTGAAATATTTCAGCATTTAATCCAAGTTTTTATTTTATATTATTATTTACAAAAAAAATTGAAGAAATTATCCAAATTTAAATCCCAGATATTAAAGATTAGTTAATACTTTAAATTACCTGCAATGCCTCGAAGCATATCTTTCGTAAGGGGCAATTATTTCTTCAGACATTATTGAATGGATGGGATGTTTTATTATCGCTATCGTTAACCATAGCGCGTTGTGTCATCTTTTTTGATAGATAGATTTGTACATATGTCTCCTATTTTTCACATCTCATATGTAGTCTCGTTAATGCCGGAAATCATTAAAAAATATTGCGTAATTGGATAATCATGTAAATAATAAAATATATTATTCAAAAATAGAAGCTTAGATATAAGGTAACATAATAAAATGGAATAAAATATATATTATATATATATATATATATACACACACACACACACACTCACAGTATTTTTATATTTTTTTTTATTTTCTACTTCATATCGCGACTGTTTTTGTTATTACGTCTCTGTCGGTCAAACTAATTCGATAATAATCGCGATTAGCAATAAACGATGATAGAACACGCTATAGATACGTCACAGAACTGTCCAGAGTCCAGACTACGTTCAATTATAAAAGAATTATTCTGCTGACATATGGTACGCAGGTTCAAGAGACAAGTTCGATAATCCTCATTGACTCACATCTTCAATTATGCAAGTTACGAAAACATAGAAGTCAGTAATTATATATATATACATTTTATGTATAACTCTATGATCAATTTGTTACGGAAAATTTTTCCGTAACAAAAATTAACAAAATAATAATTTCAATTTTGTTATAAAAAAAATTTGCATTTATAAATAAATGTAATAGTCGGAGAGGAAATTTTGTAAAGAAAGCATGGGACTATTATCATTATCTATAATGCTTGAGATACGTATATTTCGAATAATTTTTTGGAATTTGTGATAGAAGAAAATCGATTCATTTCACTTAAAACTTCATGTTGTAACACACTATAATTTGCGATTTCAACAGTTTGTTGTTCTATCTGTAATCTGCGGCCATTGCATAATCGGCTAATGTATGTATTATGTCGTAATGCGAAAGATTTTGTTCACACTATTTAAAAATCACAACAACTAAATTATTAAAATTATATTGCACAAAAATTATGATTACTAATACTAGTACTAATACGTGTTCCTATATGAAAAATGAAGAAAACTAATATGCCTATGATTTGAGAGATATTAGGTGTAAATCTATCGAGACGTGGTGTTATGCGCAAAAAATTCGCTCGTATTATTTTATATTTTTTCCATCGAGCCAGACATGAACGCAGAACGGATGGATAAACAGTTTTGCTGAGTTGATTGTAGTGATTCGTGATGAGTAATGACCGTCAATGCGGTATATTGGGTCAGTCGTCCAGACCGCGTGAATTAGTTATGGGGCGATCGGCATCCCTCGGCAGCGCAGGTTCAAGAGACAAGTTCGTCAATGGACCTCGTTGACCCACATCGTTGTTACGCGCGTATTCTCCTTCGGGGCACGCACTCTCGTTTTCACGATCGATCTGAATTGAAACGACCCAAACGAAGCCGAGGTCACAGACTGGTTCGATTCTCAGAATTAAATATATCCGCCGGGGACTTAAACGTTTGCCGGCACCCGGCAATTCTGTGCTTTGACAAATGACATGAAGATACACACGGCATACGATACTTTGGTCGACTTAAAAAATTGTGTATATCGTAACTTTATATTTCGTAATAGTGAATTGCAATGCGATAAATGAGCAATTCGCATCTACTTGTTAATCCTTTCGCTGCGAAGAGTTGCATTGTAGCTTGCCGAAAATATTCGCTGTGTATAAGAAACTATTCACTAAAAATTTTTGTTAAATATTTCAAGACAGTACAGAAATTCACCAAACAAAATAGTTGGATAATTTCTTAGTCAATTTATGATAATTTGCACTAATATGTTAATTTACATTATGCGCAATAAAGTTTTACTGCACCAACGCTTTTTATTTTATTCTGTAGTCACGAAGACGTTGAAATAGTAACAGCCTTGATGTAATCGGAGAGTGCCATTTAAAATTGAGGTCTATTTGGCTACTCGCAAATGGCTTCTTTCTTTTTTTTCTTGAAAGCCACTCGTGAGTTGAAATTTCGCAGCTGCGGACATTCAAGAAGAAGGTCGGTCGGTCGCTGAATGATTTTTGCATGTTTTTTTTTTTTTGCTTGCGTCGGCAGCATACAAAAAACCTCCGCTGAAATATTCGCCAGTCATTTCTTATAAGTTGTTTAGCACGGTTCTATCGTTTCTTACATACCATTTGCAGATGATTGCTATACTATTCAGCGTTCTGCCGATCCTCTGGATCCAGAAGATCGAGGCGAGCGTGCTGGTCGCCGATACTACCATGTCAAAAATGGTGGAGTTGAACGCCGACGCGCCCTTTTGTGCTGTTTATGATGACCGTGGGGTCATCCAGAGAATGGTGCTCGGTGCAGATCCTAGGAAGGTTCGACAAATTTCCAGCAATCTCGTTGCGGATCTTGAAGAGACCTGTAAGGCTTCGCGAGACAAGGGGAAGGTAAGATATCATTTGTTTCCAAGAAAATAAATGTTTCAAATTATTACCTGATTCCTTTTCTTTTTTTTTGAGTGCATTTCCTTTTTACTTAAAAAAAAAACTTTATTCCATTTATGAGACAATGGTCATTTATCTCTTCAAATTTTTCAAAAAATAATTGTGCTTTTTGCAGAATCAAGCGCCTGGTGGTGGTTTAATATACCCGGGTACCAAATGGTGCGGACCGGGCAATGTGACAGTTGACTACAACGATTTGGGTCAACATTCGGCTGAGGACGCTTGTTGCAGAGAACATGATCATTGCCCGTTCACGATAGAGTCAGGACAGTGTATACACGGTATATGCAATAATTCACCATTTACTCGTTCGCATTGCGATTGCGACGCCAAATTCCGCAGATGTTTACAAAATCTCAATACCGAAGTGGCCAATACCCTCGGCGCGCTATTCTTCAACGTTATCCAGGTCACCTGCTTCAAAGAAAGACGACCGTGTTCACAGTGGCAAAGGTACATATTTTATATTTTATATAAGAGAATAAAATATTCAAAATTTTACAACTTTTTATATATATCCATTTTACACAAATATTTACTCTAGATACATGTAATAAAAATATTTCATTGCGCATTATAAGAGGAGCAAGAACAGATTTGATCGTTCTTTTAATTAAAAAATATTATCGAAATGCGTTTTTTTTGTTATATAACGTAGAATCATTTTAGTTGCGTTTTATGGGAAAAGTCCCCGTACTACTTCCCAAACGAATTATCGGCGAGTAGAGGGTTCCGACCGCTGTTGACAACCTTCTCCTTCGTACTTAAGGATTTCATGGTTCAACAGAGAAATTTTCCTTAAGATGTCATGCCATTTATTCGAAGAGATCTCGAAATATAAAAAGGACTTTGCGCCGTAAATGTCTTTTTATTTTTTCAGTATATACATGGTGACAGTTCTGCATATCATAATTATTCTCAATGTTTATCTAACAATTTTAACTCTCTGGTGAAGGTTCTTCTACACAAAATAATATGAAATCTGAATTCTAATATGCTTTGGTGAAGGTTCTCTCGCCTTATAAAAGCCAATCTTACAATCTCTCTAACAAATTGCTATATCGTCGAGGTTTGATCATTTAATTGATCGACAAAATTTATTGCAGAAATGGCTACGCAGAGGCTGTGTCTGATCGATTGTGTTCGCAATACAAGTTTCGACCTAGTGAAAAGTATGTGCCCTTGATGCCTTTAAATCTGAACAAATGAATTCGGAAGCAATAGAAGGACAGCCCCAAAAACGGTAGAATAGCCTAGATAGAAGAGCCAATGATCCAGTATGTGATTATAATATGACAACAACATTGTTTATTGCATATCAAATTGCCGTCCTTACTATTGCGCATATGTAGGTTATCAAATAATACGTACTGTATTCTTAGAAATTAAGTTATGTCAATCCTTTTATAGTAGTGCGACATGTAGATATTGTTTGAAGTTTATGGATAATGGGAGACTATGTTATTCTTTAAATTTTTCTTGCTGTACATATTATGCTACACTTTATTCCAATGTTCTATTAAGAGTTTGGCTACCTGTAAAAAAAATATTTTGCCATACTTAATTCAGTCTGAGTTACGCTATACAGTGCAATCTTTCTATAAGTTCTATAGAGATATCATAGAGAAAAAGGTTGTTTATTGGAAGATGGAAACGACATACTAATTTTTTCTTTTTTAAGAGTAATAAGTATATTGTATTTGAATATTTGAGTTGGCGTAATATTGTATTATATATTATTATTTATATCTATGTATAGTATATCTGTCAAAAATGTGTTATAACTATTTGATTTATTTTAATTACATTGAACTCTAATCAGGTAAAGTAAAAATATGCCTCTAATTATGTTAGCTAATAGGTAACAAATATTTTTATATATATCTGCTAATTAGACTATTTTAAAATATAATACACAAAGAATGTATGTGTGCTATATTATATTATTATATTCACTTAACATAATAGATAATTGTATATATATATATATATAT